TCTCTCTACGTCCCCAAAAGTCCTTTTGGGGTTGTGCAGGATTTGGCTTTAGAATTGATGCTGGGGTTTGGGAAGGGGAATTAGAGGAGTAATAAAAGGTGTGGCCTTTGGCTTTTCTTCTTTTTTGACTACCCCCACCGATTCCGAAAGTTTTCAAAAAGAGGGAGTGATTCGAGGAGCCTTGAATTGGGAGAAAGGGGAATATGCAAGTAGAGCGATCTTTATATACATCCTATTCATGGGAGTTTGGTACGTATGAACAGGTAGAACAGATTAGTCATGATGTTCAACCCAGGAATCAGACTGAACTAGCATGAACTGACTAGTTTCAAGGCCGATTCTAGGGAGAACCTGCTCAGATCAAGGTTTTGCAAAAATAAAACTGGCCTATAATTGGATAGGATAGGTTCCTGATTCTAGGATGAGAACTGACCCACTTTAGAACCGATCACTCCTCGATCAGCTCGGTCCCATTTAGGGCTTGTTGAATCAAATGACTCATATACATAATTGGGGATATCTTACTTGCTTTGCGCAAGTTGAGATGTCATTTGGGAGATGAATCACTATGACACGATCAAAAACATATCACTGCCTCCTTTAGTTTGAATTTTGGAAATCGAAGAAGCGAATTTAATCTTTCTTTTATGTTGTTACCTGTGTATTTATCTTTTCATTGATTGTTCCTGAAAATTAGCGATCCAAAATATTTTGGGAGGAAAACAAGAATATTCGTTTGGAAGTTAGAGCCCCTTCTTTAATATATTAATATAAACAGAAGCCAATTCTTTCGTGCCAAGAAAAATGTGATTTCATGATAAAAAAGAAAATGGTTACGACAGTAAACATCTGACATATCGCCATGATTCAGGTTGGCCTATTTCTTCATTCTAATGCGTGGCACTAGGGGTTGCTTGATCTGGATAGAGGATGATCCAATTTTCTAAAGTTGAAATTTTTAGCTTTTACAAGATATTTGATAAGTCTAATCGAAAAGGAAAAAAGATATTCGATAAGAAAATCGAGATTTCGACTCTGACAAGGCAAAATTAATCCAAACATGACCAATTCATCTCAACTGTTAATGTGATGAATATGATATGGAGCTCACATCATTCAACGATTTTGGTCATGTGATTCATGGTAGATCAGATCTATACATTGGAGAATAATATATTATACTATACATTAGCACTGCATTATCTGTAGATAGATTCCCAATGGGATGATAGTATAAATGATCCATAAACTTTGATCCAATGTGCAATATCGGCTCTAAACTTTTAATTTGTGCAATGTGAACCCTGAACTTTGACCCAATATGCAATGTTGTCCCTAGACATTTAATTTGTTCAATATTGTCCCTGAATTATTGGTAAATGTTCAATGTAGGCCATAAACTATATGAATATGTTTAAAAGCTCAAGGGTCGCAATGAAGATTTGATCAAAGTTCAGGGACCATATTGAACAAATTAAAAGTTTAAGGACGACATTACACATTGGACCAAAATTTAGGGACCGCATTGAACAAATTAAAAGTTCATGGACGACATTAGATTATAGTTCATGGACCATTTATGTTATTTTCCCATTCTGACTGATGCGTTGTGGTGTAGGGTTTGATTGAAGTAGCTCTCTGTGTGGCTTTCCTCGGTATTCGATAACAAGGCCTGTGATCACATCTAGTTGCATCAAATAAGGTCTAACTCGTCTCTGCAAGCTTTTTGCTGCTGTACACCGCACCAGATAGGCTGGAGAGGTAGGGGTGTGCAAAAGAATCGAGAATCGCCTGGACCGCCCGGAACCGGCCAAAAACAGGCGGTTCCTGTGAGGACCGGTCCGGTTTCCGGTTCTAATTTACTAGAACCGGTGAGTACTAGTCTGGTTCTTGGTTCTAGGCGTCGAACCGCCCACCCATCCATCCAGACTGGACCAGTAATTTATAAATATACATATATATAATTTTTAAGAAAAATTTCAACCAAAAAAAAAAAGAAAACATTTTTAGAAAATTGAAAACCATAAAATTCCTAATTTAAAGCTTGACTCTTAACTCTTATCAACTTACGACCGCGCCTATATCCGTTCATTACCTCTCTCTCTCACTCTCGGTCACCTCTATTTGCGTGAAACTTGGTAGGACCGGTTCCATGGACCCACCCGGGAACCGGACTGGACTGGCGGTCCAGTTCCCGGGTGAATCCATGGAACCAACGGACAGTTCCCGATTTTAATTTCTCGGAACTAGTCCTTAGTGGGCAGTTCCCGATTCCACATTGGAAATCGCTCATCCGAACTATGCTCATCCCTACTTCGAGGTGCCTGATCTTGTGTCAGCAAAGGAGAAGAGAATCGCTTTCCTTTTGGTGGAAAAGGATAGCCCTGGAAAAGAGAGGCATGTCTGGGATTCCCTTTTTCATTAATTTTCATTGAATTTTTTTAAGGTAATCTGCAGATCATTTCGTTTTTCTACTAAATCGTCCAATCTTATGCTCAAGATGTACGTCTGCAAGATTAGTTTGCCCTATGAAGGAATTTACAATAGGGGAAGATGATGCAACTTCTCCTTTCAACACTTGCACTGCTCTAACATGCTCTTTTTTCCACGGGGTGGATTCTTCTTCAGGAGTTTTTGTAAGGTTACACAAATTTAGAGATTTTTCAAACGAAATCTTTAAGATAATTGATAATCTCAAGTTGATATCGAGCCTGTTTATGAGAAAGATTCTTATTTGGGGAACTTCAAGAGTTCTTGTCTAACACGATCGCCAGGGTGATCCGTCCCTCCTTTGTGGTGTATGCCGAGAAATCCCATTTCATTTTGTGCTATGAGTATCTTCTTTTGAGAGAGGTTGATGCTATATTGGAGCACAAATTTGCAAACTGTTTTAATAAGCTGCAATGAGTCCCACACGGCCTTTTAATACAAGGACAAGACTGTTTTAACCAAATGGCATGACTATCCATTTCAAATGCAAAATCCTATTTTATATCCGTCCTTTGGATGCATGCCAAGCTGCCAGAATCATACTTTAAGATCGTATATTATTGAATGAGAGAAGCTAGATAACGAAGACTTTTTATCCGTTTGCATTTCTCTATCTCTGATGTTTCTCTCCTCATCTTGTCTCTCCATCTCGTCCAAACTCGAGTTCACGGGCCATGGCTATCGGATCTTGGAGCTTTGAGCTCTCGCTGTGGTCATGCCAATTCCAGCGTATCGTGCCCATGGTCGTGCCAAATCTGAGCTCACGGCCATGACCCAAATTTAGTGTCCACTGCCGAGGGGAGGGGTCGACGGTAGCGATGGAGATGGGTGTCGTCTGCGGTGAGGGCTGTGGCGAGGCTGGAGGTCGACGGTAGCGATGGAGATGGGTGTCGTCTGCGGTGAGGGCTGTGGCGAGGCGGGAGGTCGACGGCGGCGGCAGCAAATGATGGTGTGTGGTGGAGGGGTGATGGAGGGGCAATTTGGTCGGTCAAAGCAGGGATTTTTGCCTTTAGGTAGCAAACTGGTAGTTAAAAAAACATAGAGGTATGTATTTGGTTAAAGCGTGAAAAATGAAACATGTTTTTGATATTTTTCCTCTTATTTATGTACAAGAAGTGTCTTAACGGCAAAATGTATGCATTTGTTGGTATTTAGCCAGCATCAACAGCATAAACTTGAATTGGACCGATGCTTACCCAAACAGATGGAATAATATGAACTTAGAAAAATATTCTAACGTGCTCAAAAAATAAACGAAACACAATTTAACCTATCATAATCGGCATCATGATAAGGCGAGAAATTTCAGATAAGGACTCAAAGTGCTCTTATTTTCTCAAATAAGGGTCTGAAGTGAACTTTGTGTAAAATAAGGACCTAAAGTGGCTATAATAGTTTCAAATAGGGGCCTCACCCTGCTGGCTTGCCGGCTGGCCAAATTTTCCTGCCGACCAATGGCATTTTCATTCAAAAACAATTTTAACATAAATTTTAGTTAAATTAGATTTAAATTTAAAAAAGTTAAAAAAGAAAAATAGGGGGGCGAATGCCCCCTTCCGCCCCCCCCCCGACCGACGATGGGGCGGTGGCCATAGGCGGGGTTGGCCTCCCCCTTGTTTTTTTTTTTTTTTAACTTTAGCTTTTTTTTTTTCATTTTTGAGTTTGTTTTTTATGGAAAAAAAAATCAAAAAAATTAAAAGACGAAAATGTCCTTGACTCCAATGAGGTGAGGCCCTTTTTTGAAATTGAAATGGCCACTTCAGACTCTTATTTAAGATAAGGTTCACTTCAGGCCCTTATTTGAGAAAATGAGAGTATTCCGGGTCTTTATTTGACACATGGTTTACTTCAGGCCCCTATTTGAGAAAATGAAAACACTTCGGGTCCTTATTTAGAATTTTCCCTGATAAGGTGCTTAGGCTTTTCACGCTCCCTATCTCCAATTTCTAAGAGATTTACAACCCCCCATGATGCCATAATTTACTCCATGAGATTGGCAATAGTAGACACGATGCACTATAAGTGTGACATTTTTAGATTAACTCGCTCGAGATATTGTCAGCTTTGACCATCCCATACTGAACCTCGCGGTTTTGCCCTTTAGCATATCGACATATACTTGTTCAGAAGGTCATCCATGCTGTTATGTCAAAAGACACATCTGTGAGTTAATTCTAGTTTTCACATATCCATGCACGCTTTCCTCTAGTTTGGTGCGCAATTAAGTTTATTCCCGCCCCTTTCACCAATCTAAAAGCCCGTCAGGAGCCACTTGATGTCCGACCCCTCTTACCCTCACTATCACTCCCCTATCACTCCCCGCCCTCATTGGACCGGATCGTTATAACAAAGGAATCATCGACAATCCGATTAAGTTAAGACAACGAAACATAACTCATTTTCCTTCCTAACTCGAGATTAGTCGAATACCCATAGGAAACACCCCCCACGAAAACATATTTAAAAAGAAAAAGAGCTCATTTCTGCCCCTATAAAATGCACCTCTTCTCCTCTCTCTCCCCCGACTATTCACTTACACGCTTCCTACACACAAAAAAGCTGAGCGTGAGCAAGCGAGTCACTTCAGAAATTCAGAGAGAGAGAGAGAGAGAGAAAGATGGCCAAGCGTTTGAAGCTCCGTATCGCCCGAGCCTTCCAGTCCTGCCGCTCCAAGGACGCTTCCTCCCTCCCCTCCGATCCCGTCCCTTCCTTCCTCCGCCTCCCCCCTGTCAGCCCCGCCGCCGTCGACCTCTCCTCCCCCCGCAAGCCCCACCACCGCTCCTTCCTCAACCGCCACGTGCCCCCCGCACTCATGCCCTACGGCTGCGGCTGCAGATCACGACCCCGCCTCTCCGACGACGACCGCCGCCGCTCCGGGTCGCAGCCGCCCCGGTTCCACTGGAAACAAGAGGAGGGCTTCCACGTGGTGGCCACGGCGCGTGACGAGCGCGCCCCTCGCAGGAAAATCTACGCCTCCTCCGCCTCCGGGGGCTCCGACGTCGACGACGACGACGGTGGAGCCGACGTTGTGTTGGCTTTGAGCCCCGTGGCGGAGAAAAAGAAACGACGCGTGAAGAATAAGAAGAAGAAAACGGCGATCAGGCTCCGCGGTCGTCTCAGCACTTCCTCGATGGACAGCGGACTCTTCAGCAGCGAAGATCGCGGCGGCGGCGGCGACGAGGAGGAGGACGAAGAGACGGAGACTCTAGTCTCCTCCTCCAGAAGCCTCTCCACCACCGATTCCTCGTCCGACCACCTCTTCAATCCCCAGCTGGAGACCATCCGCGAGGCGCCGAGACGGAGCAGGAGGAGGAGAAAGAAGACGGCGAAGGCGAAGAAGGCGAGGAAGTCGGTGGATGCCGAGGCGGAGGCGGAGGCGGCGAGGCTGTCGGTGTTCAGGAGGATGATGCCGTGCGGGGTGATGGAAGGGAAGGTGAGGGAGAGCTTCGCGGTGGTGAAGAGGACGGAGGACCCGCGCGGGGACTTCAAGCGGTCGATGGTTGAGATGATCGTGGAGAAGCAGATGTTCGCGGAGGAGGACCTCCAGCAGCTCCTCCGCTGCCTCCTCTCGCTCAACTCGAGGGACCACCACGGCGTCATCGTGGACGCTTTCTCCGAGATCTGGGACGCCCTGTTCGGCCGGAGATCGTCGGCGGGCGGACGTTGACGACGACGAAGACCGATGACCTAGCTATTCCAACTCTTATGAATTTCTATTCATTAGCTTCTCTCTCTCTCTCTTTCGCTTTCTTCTTTTCACTGTTCTGTTTAGTTTTCCAGCCAGTTCACTACCATTTACGTTGCAGATCTTCTTCTCTCTCTCTCTCTCTCTCTCTCTCTCTGATACTAGTTCATGACTTGATGCATGGCGATTCTTGCGCCTGCTTCGCTGCAAGCTAAGAAAGATTTACATGTTCGACCACCTTCGGTCAATGACGAAGCGCCATTGGAGCTAGAGCTAGAAGGGTCCTTGGACGTAGACGTCTAAGAGTTTTTTGCAGGTGAACAGAGCGCGAGACGCGGGAGGGGGGGGGGGGGGGGAAAGACTTCCAGGGGAAAGAGAGGTGAAGAGACTGATGTGCGGTCGGGTTGGATGGATCGTCCTCCAAAAGAGGCTTTGATGGGATTTACAGGAAGTTAATAATATAAGTTTAATAAATTTAATTCGATGGAGAAATAACATGGTTAACATTCATCATCATCATCATCATTATTTGCCATGGATTTTGTTTTTATGAAAGCAAATATTTGAAATTGGATGAACATTTTGTTTCTCTTTCCATGGGATAAAATTAAATATTTACTATATGTCTAGAAAAGAGAAAATGAGAAAAATGATGTGATTGTTTGTCACACAGCAAGGACAAATAAGGAATTTCAACGAGTGTAGTCTTTAATGGAAAGTGGGGGGATTAACTTTTTTTTTCCTTCTTTTATCTTTCTTATCATTTTTCTATGGCCAATTGTACTCTTTTTTCCCCCTTTATAGTTAATTTGCAATCTAATATTGTTAAAAGTGAAACGAATGTTATATATATCGGATTTGTCTGCGTTAACTTTTACTTTTCATTCTTTTACTCAATTTAAACTTTACGGTTCACGCACTGTTGACTTATTTTTTCTATGAATTCAAAACTCTCGAGACTTTTACAATATTCAAAAATTGACAGGTAAATTCACATATAACTTCTTCATAATTATTTGAAGTTTAATAATATTTTAAATTTTGAGGGGAAAGATATATATATACATACATGTTCGCCTTTTGCCTTAGTGTAAATCAACATGCCCTAGTTTACATGGGGTGGGGGGGAGGGAGATGATAGGGGCCCTCATTTGTTTGACTTTGACCAGCCACGGGGGTTGACTGGGATGGACTGATTGGCCGGGGACCTTCATCATTCTCGTGCACATGTCGATCTTTCCATGTCGGTCCACAAGATCTAACTCTTTAAGACAAAGAACATTAGATGGTCATCATTTTCAACGACACGCGTCTCCATTGCAGCACGTTACTAAAGGACCAGATCCACACTTGATTTGGGTCCACCGGGCCCGCCATGGCGGGTGGGGGCTGCAATCGTCGATCCTCGCCTGCCCAAAATGCGCACGTTCTAAATGCATTTTGCCAAACTTTTTTACACAGGACTCGAATGCATCAATGGTCTGGAAGAGCAAGGGAGGGGCGGATGCGCGGGATTCGCCTAACAATTTGTCGGCCTCAAGACCTGCTCGGTCGATTCCGAGCCCCGTATCCATCCTTATCTCTTGAGACTTGGGTGTGTTGTGATGCGACAAGAACAGAGGGGGGCATTCCCGATTTTGAGAGTCTCGCCCCTGTGGATCCGAGTCCGGACAAGAATTTTTCCCCGCTACCCCGGGACGAGAATAGGCAATGCCAGGTCGAGCTCGGCTGGTGCACACGATATGTGTCTTGTCGTCTCCATGTCCATCGTGCCACAGAGCTCCATGTCCACCGTGCCACACACGCACGGGGCCCGAGGAGAATGAAAATCTCCCACACGGCATCAGAGATTCTTTCCCTGCCCAGAAGAAGTTGGATTAGAACAGGACCCTGGCCTCAAGAGCAGAGAACAGAATTCACGCTCTCTCCGAAATCACGCCTCGTTTAACTTTCTGGCCTTTCTTTGGTACCTGATGCTGAGAAATTTCGGGTGTTTCCTCGGCAGACGCACCGTCGTTTTCCACCCCAAAAGGGTACGTTTGTCAGTTCGGGAGGAAAAGAAATTTCACTCATTGACTTTAGATGGAGATGCGGGCTTTTTCATATAGGGGGAAACTGAGCGATCTATGCGATCGCCCGATTCCGGTCCGCTTGATTTCCGATCGAGTTCGAGCTATATCGTCATGTGAGCTCGAGCTCAACTGTGCTTGGCTTTAAGCTTCCATTGCTTTCTGAATTTTTTTTACAGGTTTTAGATCGAGGTCGAATAGGAAATTCGATATCGTGTCGAGCTCGAGCTCGGGCTTTTAGGGCCTGCTACACGAGTTGAGTCAAGACAACGATGACCTGTAATTCATTTAAGCAACTATTTAGGACAAGCTCGAGTCTACTTTTATTCGTTTCGAAACCTTGTATCGAGGAAATGAGACTGAAGAAGTAGACTTTCGGGTTCTGGGTCAGGCCTGGTTGCGAAACCAGGGGCAAAGACTCGGAACATTTGCCAGTGTACCAAACAAAGCTCTGAACTGTCATGGAGCTCTCGGACCAAATGATATGGCAGAGGACAGGCCTGATGTAGAATCTATTAGTGGTGCGTTTCTGAACCGGTTGGACAGGCAGAAGTCCAAACGGAAGGCGAAACGGTGATGCGACTAGAACCGGCGGCCCTAGTTGAAGACATCGGATCGGGCTCAAATTCGATCGTTTTAAGCGAAATGGCTGTCTGAACAAAACTCACCGCCTTTGGCCGTGACTAACGATGGATTTTAGCGATTCGGGATCGTTTACATGGATTTTTCTATTATTTTAATATTTTTTATGGGTTTTAATTTTAAGGGCAGTTTTGTAATTTTGATATTTTATGATTTATAATCCTAGTAGGGTTTGGTTTAGGGATATATAAACTTGTTTTAGAGTTCTTTTTGAAGAACAGAACATTATCATCAATATTTAATTTCGAGATTTCTTTCTCTAAGCAAGGTTTTGCTTGAATTATTCGCTGAATGCTGCGTCAGGTGGTATCAAAGCCTATGGCGACTGGCGGTGGTCTTCGTGACGATGATCAGGAGACTAGAGCCCCAACCCTTGGGGACGACGTGCTGCAACGTTTGGAGCAGCGTTTAATGGAACGCTTGGATCAACGAATCAATCAAAGTCTTCGTCGTTTCGAAGAACGATTTGACGAGTTAACAGATCGATTCGAAGGTCTCGGCGTTGATGTGAACCGGAATCGGTGAAACGGCAGAAGACCGGGTGCAGATCTTGCTCGCGGTAATCCTGTTGATAGGCTTGTTCCTGTCCGCAGGCTGAATAACCCTCTGTTTTCAGAGAGTTCGGAAGAAGAAGAAAACGATTATTTTGATGAGGAACGTGCTAATTATGGCGACAGATATCGTCATGGAGGATTTCAAAGAGGATATGATAGGAGAGATGGAAGACGACGTTACGACGATCGTGAAGGTACCGACTTTAAATTGAAAGTCGATATTCCTTATTTTAATGGAAGTCTGGGCATAGAAGAATTTCTGGATTGGATTGCTGATATAGATAGATTTTTCGATTATATGGAGACCCCTAGTGAGAAAAGGGTGCAATTAGTAGTCTGTAGATTAAAGGGGGGTGCGTCTGCATGGTGGGAGAGATTGCAGAATAAGAGGGAGCGAGAAGGGAAAGATAGAGTTCGAACTTGGACTAGGATGATGAGGCTGCTGAAATAGGAGTTCCTTCCACTCGACTATGAACAGATTATGTTCCAGCAGTACCAACGTTGCCACCAAGGCAATCGGACTGTACATGAGTATACGGCCGAATTTATGAGGTTGGCGGAGCGGAATAATCTAGCGGAGACGGAGGGATAGAGGTGGCCAGATGTCTCGATGGTTTAAAACCCTTCATTCGAGATAAAATTGGGGTGCAGTTTCTGCGAAATTTAACTGAAGCGAAGAATATGGCGATGAAGGCAGAATTGATCCAGCAAAACAAGGGAAAAAAAACATACGAAAATTATCGAGGTTTCAGTTCGAGCAGTTCGATAGAGAAGAGCGGCTTCAACAACCGCAACAACTTAGGGCGAAATCAAGAAGATAAGGCATTACAAAGGTGTCCTATGAACGAGCCGAGGGATAAGGGAACGCAAGCACTGAAAACTGTGAACCCTAACCCTTATGCTAAACCAACCGCAATAAAGTATTACAGGTGTAATCAACCTGGACACCGATCTAATGAATGCCTTCAAAGAAAAACCGTAAACGTGGCAGCGAGAGATGAGGAAGAAGATGGGTATTGCTGTGAGCCAGATGGTGAAAATGATGATTTTGAAGATGAAGAAGGGGAAGTAAATTATGTGGTGCGCAGGATGATGTTAGCCCCAAAACAGGAAGATGATTCGCAGCGCCATCAGTTATTCCGAACTAGATGCACTATTCTAGGCAAAATATTTACTGTTGTTATTGATAGTGGAAGCATGGAGAATATCATTGGGAAAACGGCAGTGAAGAAGCTGGGAATACCCGTGGAGAAGCATCCTAATCCCTATACGTTAGGGTGGATTAAATTTGGAGCGGAAAGCATTCAGGTGACTGAGCGATGTAAAATTCCATTCCTCATTGGAAAATATCATGGTGAACTGTATTGTGATGTGGTAGACATGTATGTATGTCACGTGTTGTTTGGGAGGCCGTGGCAATTTGATGTAGATGTGCAACATTCGGGAAGGAGCAATCAGTATAACCTCGTGAAGGATGGAGTGAAGTACACGTTGATGCCACTGAAGAATAAAGGAAAACAAGCTGCTGAAAATAATTTCCTTACTCTTACGAGGAAATTTGAAGCTAAGATTAAGGAAACCTGATAGATTCACGCGTTAATAGTGAAACAGGCATTCGAGCCAGAGACTGAATTACAAGTGGAGGAGCAGCCCGAATCAGTTAGGCCTTTATTGAAGGAGTTTAGTGATCTGATGCCTGTGGAGATCCCAGATGGGTTGCCGCCTATGCGCGATATTCAGCACCGTATAAACTTAATTCCTAGTGCTAGTCTGCCTAATTTACCGCACTTTAGGATGAGTCCTAAAGAGAGCGAGATTCTAAAGAGAGGGTGGAGTTGTTGCGAAAGGGGCACATTCAGAGTAGCATGAGCCCATGTGCTGTTCCGGCCTTATTGACTCCTAAGAAAAATGGGAGTTGGTAGATGTGTGTAGATAGTAGGGCCATTAATAAAATAACCGTGGGTTACAAGTTTCCAATTCCGAGATTGGATGACATGATGGATAGGTTGCACGGTGCTAAGTGGTTCTCGAAGCTGGATTTGAAGAATGGATATCATCATATTCAGATTCGGCCTGGAGATGAGTGGAAGACAGCTTTCAAGACAAAGAAGGGGTTGTACGAATGGTTGGTAATTCCTTTCGAACTTTTCAATGCTCCAAGTACTTTCATGAGACTTATGAATCAGGTTTTGAAATCTTTTATTGGCAAATTCAGTGTAGTTTATTTTGATGATATCCTGATTTATAGTAAGACTGAGAAGGATCATCTGACGCACTTAAGGGAGGTGTTGACAGCTTTGCAGATTAATAAGTTGTATGTTAATCTTAGGAAGTGTAGTTTTTTAACTAATAAGCTGTTATTCTTGGGGTTTATTATTACTATTGAAGGAATAGAGGTAGATGAGGCAAAGGTAAGAGCAATCAGAGAGTGGCCAACTCCTAAAACAGTTTCTGACGTTGGGAGTTTTCATGGGTTGGCTACTTTCTATCAGCGATTTATTAAGAATTTCAGTACTGTCGCAGCCTCGATTACTGAATGTATGAAGAAAGGAAAATTTCTATGGGTAGAGGAAGCAGATAATAGTTTTGCTATTCTGAAGGAAAAGTTATGTACTACACCTGTTCTTGCCTTACCTAATTTTAATAAACTGTTTGAAGTAGACTGTGATGCCAGTGGAGTGGATATAAGAGCTGTTTTGTCTCAAGAACACAGACCAATTTGCTATTTCAGTGAGAAGCTTAGCGAGGCGACGCAGAAGTGGAGCACTTATGACAAATAATTCTATTCTGTCGTAAGGGCTTTAAAGACTTGGGAGCATTACTTGATTGGGAAAGAATTCGTCATTTATTCTGATCATGAAGTTTTGAAGTATTTAAATAGTTAGAAGAGGATTAGCAAAGATATGCATGCGCGATTGTGTCAATTTTTGCAAAAATTTCCTTTTAGATTACAGCACAAGTCAAGTGTGCATAATATCGTAGCATATGCATTGAGTAGGAGAGCTGGCTTGTTGATTACATTAAGCCAAGACATCTTGGGGTTCGAGTAGCTGAAAGACTGTTATGCAGATGATGATGACTTTTGGCAAATTTGGAAGTCATGTGCTGCTGGTCAACCTGTGCAAGAATTTTATGTGCAGGATGGCTATTTGATGCGTAGCAACCAGCTTTGCCTTCCTCGAACATCATTACGAGAAAAGGTAATTTGTGATTTACATGATGGAGGATTAGCTGCACACATGGGTCGTGATAAAATTAATGCTGCAGTCCGGGAGCGATTTTACTGGCCCTAGTCACGAAAAGATGTCAGCAGGTACGTACAAAAGAATTATGTTTGCCAGACTGCTAAGGGGAAATCTAAGAATACAGGTCTGTATATGCCATTACCTGTTCCTGACACAATATAGGAATGTCTGTCCATGGATTTTGTGCTTGGTTTGCCACGAACACAAAGAGGTGTGGATTCTGCTTTTTGTTGTAGTTGACAGATTTTCCAAGATGGCACACTTCATTCCTTGTAGAAAGACTTCTGATGCAGTAAGTGTGGCCAGGTTATTCTTTAAGGAGGCGGTTTGTTTGCATGGTGTTCCTAAGTCTATTACCTCTGATAGGGACAGCAAATTTCTAGGGCATTTTTGGCGGACTTTATGGAAACTGTTTGATTCATCTTTGAATTTCAATAACACTGCTCACCCGCAGACTGATGGGCAAATAGAGGTGGTTAATAGAACTCTAGGAAACTTGATTCGAAGCATTTGTGGAGATAAGTCGAAGCGGTGGGATGTTGCTTTATCACAGGCAGAGTTTGCTTATAATAATGCAGTTCATAGTTCTATTGGCAAGTCCCCTTTTTCTGTTGTTTATACAAAGGCGCCTCAGCATACTTTGAATTTAGTACGGTTGCCTAAGCAAGCGGATAAGAGTGTAGCAGCGGATCATATGGCTAAACAGATTGTGGAAGTGCATCATGAAGTCCAACAGAAGCTAGAGGAAGCTAATCAGAGCTATAAAGCTACAGCAGATAAGCACAAGCGGAAGCAGGTGTTTGCGGTAGGTGATCAGGTCATGGTTTTTCCTCGTAAAGAGCGATTATCGGTTGGATCTTATAGCAAATTGCAGCAAAAGAAGTATGGGTCTTACACTGTCAGCAAGAAGATCAACGATAATACTTATGTTATAGACCTTCCACATAGTATTGGCATATCTAACACTTTTAATGTTGCTGATTTATCACTGTTTCATAAGTCCGCAGAGCCGTTATATCCAGATCCTGATTTTAACTCGAGGACGAGTTCTTTTCAAGTGGAGAAGAATGATGCAGAATCTATTAGTGGTGCATTTCTGGACCGGTTAGACAGGCAGAAGTCCAAACGGAAGGCGAAACGGTGATGCGACTAGAACCGGCGGCCCTAGTTGACGACATCGGATCGGGCTCAAATTCGGTCGTTTTAAGCGAAACGGCGGTATGAACAAAACTCACTGCCTTTGGCCGTGACTAACGATGGATTTTAGCGATTCGGAATCATTTATATGGGTTTTTCTATTATTTTAATATTTTTTATGGTTTTTAATTTTAAGGGCAGTTTTGTAATTTTGATATTTTATGATTTATAATCCTAGTAGGGTTTGGTTTAAGGATATATAAACTTGTTTTAGGGTTCTTTTTTAAGAACAGAATATTAGCATTAATATTGAATTTCGAGATTTCTTTATCTAAGTAAGGTTTTACTTGAATTATTCGCTGAACGCTGCGTCAAGACCCCTTTGCCTGTAAATCCTTCTTTGGGTGAAGCTGCACATTATATGTCATTTATGAACTCGGCTCACTTCAGCCGGGATTGGGAATGTTCTCTTAATCATACTTACCATGAAGCAATCGTGTGTGTAGACTCTCGCACCAAGGCGGCAATGGAGGCTACGCAACACACTATTTCGAGTCACCTCTGATGGGTCTAGATAGCACTTCTCTTGCAGATTGTGTGACCATATCACTCCCCAGAAATGTTAACTAGTGTAGCTTGCTTGCTTTCTTCCCTTGTGGAAAAATGAAAAGGAAAACCCAACCCACAGCAAGAATCTCACAGCCCCAACTTGCAGAACTTATCTACATGCGTTCACAATCACAATCACAACATCTGAGTTGTTAGTAGTTACAGGAGAAGCTTATTGGGTCACTCAAGCTACTCATTTAACAAGACGACCAAGTCTGTAGAAAGAGAGAGAAGCCGTCTCTCACGCATCCTACAAGAACGACAAGAAGCCACATGAAAGAAAAATTCTAGTTCAAAGACATCTGCTCCTTTGCCCTTTTAATCCATCCAGAGTCAGAGCTAAGGAGGGCTTTTCTTCTTTTTTCACTCCCTGAATCTAGTGCATGTGTTCTGCAAGAAATTGGCAAAGGAGGACCTAATTTATGATATAAAACAGTTCATAAACTTATTTACCTGTAACAGTGATCAAGAACCGGATTTCACTAAACCTTTATTTAGTCCCAGCAACCCAGTTCTGGATAATCTCGTATGGATCAGACTCATAAGGCCCTTATCTGAATGGTCATACACGACCGCATCAACATTTTCTTTAGTCACTTTCAAAGGAAAATTGAAGTATCCAAGCGGAGAAGACAGTTAGTGATCTAATAAGCTATAGAGTCACCGGTCCTTCATGGATATTGCGAGATGAATGCATACTAAACAGCAACGGGTAGCTTTAGAATGCCTTTAGATGTTAAATAACTCAGCTAGGTATAATGATAATCAGCAAAGGAGCAGTGAACAAACTTTAACAGTCTCATAGATAAGCTAGCAACGACAAAAATTCGCGTGTCTCTAGGACAACTTGCATAGAGCCAAAGAGCTGTGGCAAGCTATAGCCGCACCATAAATTATCAATCTTTTACACCACCAATTAATCAGCGAACCAACGCAAAATAATTATATTCCCTTTGATGTGAATGATAGTCGCTCACTACAGGCTCTGAGCAAGGCAAAAGCTGGACTCAAATCCACTAAAAATTTCCAAGACTACAAAGAAGCACACAACAAATCAATGGAGAACAACCAATCCGACCACCATTAGGCGAACCTCATAATTTCTCCGGTACAATTCATCATGCATAACCAAAATGTTCTCCAGTTTCCGCCATTACCAGACCTGTGATCTTACTGTTCCACGCGTCGGCATTCAATCTGATCAAGTCGATTCCATCGTAAAAGACTCTATCGGCACTCTGTCAATATGTCAATCGCAGTGAGCTTCATGACTTACCCAGTTGCCTCTTTATCCTCTTCAAGGGTCAAAGACGCATCGGTGTCATCGGCAGCCGAAGCCAAGCCAAGATTTTCCTCAACTTTCTTCCACGCATTCAAGAAATTAGGAGGGAACTTCTTCTTTATGGTCCTAATCAATCCCTTCGCCTCCTTGGTCATCTTCTTCTGCACCAATCCTTCGACCAAGCTCCTCAGCGTCAAAAAATCAGGAATCTTGTGCACCTTCACGCTCTCCTTGAAGATCTTGTACCCCTTTTCGTAATCCCCGTTCTTACAAAGATAATGTATCAATGTCCTGAAACTCGCCGCATTCGGCTTACACCCGTTGCCCTCCAGCTCCTTGTACACTTCGATCGCCTCGTCCATCCTCCCCGCCTTCAAATGAGAAGTCATCAGGTAATTGTAGCTGATCGTGTCCGGCTTAAACCCCGCATCGCTCATCTCCTGAATCAGCTTCTTCACGTCCTCCGGCCCCGAACCCTGCGCGTTCATGATCCTAACATTGTAAGCGGCGGAATCCAACGCGCAGCCCGCTCTCGCCATCTCGTCCCACAGCTTCTCCGCCTCCCCGCCCCTCCCGTTCTTATACAGAGAATCGAGTATCGTCGTGAACGTGACCGCGGTGACCTCGACGCCCTTCTCCTCCATCTCCTTCAAAACCTCGATCCCCTTCTCGGGCGACCCGGCCTCGCAGTACGACTTCACCAGTATCCCGTACGACACTCTGTCCGGCGACACGCCGTACTTGCCGGGCAAGGCGCCGAACAGCTCGGGCACTTTATCGAACAGCTTCGACGCATTGCACGCGGACAAGACGGAATTGAAAGAGAGCACCGTCCTGGGCGTGCCCAGCCCGTCCATCTGCTCGTACGTCCGCATCGCGTGGTCGAACATGCCCGCGACCCCGTAGGATCGGATCAGCGTGCACAGGAAGGGCTCCTGCGCGACCTGGGGCTCCGCCTTGTGGGACTCGACGAGGGCCTCGATGTCGGCGAAGCGGCGGGACTTGGCGAGGCGGCGGATGGTGAGGTCCTGGGCGTAGCGGGAGGAGACCGGGGAGGCGTAGCGCTTGGAGACGGAGGAGTAGATCTGCAGGGCCTTGTCCGGGTCGAACTCGGAGCGGAGCTTGGACTTCGCTCGGGATATGGAGATCGAGGGAGCCGCGGCCTCGGCGCTGGTGGTTGCGGCGGCGGCGGCGACGGGAGAGGCGGCGGCGGCTGTGGAGAGGCGGCGGAGGCGGTGGAGCTGGCGAGAAGAAGACATGGTTGCCATGGGTGGGGTGTTCGATCGACGGGGGTTTTAAGGTTAGGGTTTTAGTGGAGTGAAGAAATGAGAAAGAAAGGAAAAAACTTCTGCGTTTCTCGAAATGAAAGCACAAGCAGAAAGAAAAAAAAAATTAATATCAAAAAAAATCTCAAATCGGTACACCTGTGATGAATTTATTCAGAATTAACTTTTTAACTATCAAAAACCCCAAATTGGTACACGTGTGATAAATTTACTCTCCGTTAATTTCCGTTAAATTGTACTGTTAAATTACTGAGTTGGACGACAAGTAACAGCTGACGGGTGTATCAGTTTGGGGTTTTACTTTCCGTTTGTCACAAATGTACTGGTTTGTGGTTTTCCATGGTACTAATAACATTTAACGGAGGATAAATTTGTCACGGGTGTACCGGTTTAGGATTTTTGGCGGTTGAAAATTCAGGTTTTGATAAATTTATCATAAGTGTACTAGTTTGAGGTTTTTCATGGTATTAACCAAAAAAGGGAAAAGATGGCATGTATAATAATGGACGAGGAAAATTGAAAAGCATGGCATACTTCTGGTAAGTGTTTAATTTTATTTTTTTCGGGTAATTTTTTTTTTAATTAATTGGAAGGATTACTTCATGGTTCCTTTGAACCCGGAGAAGAGGGGATAAAATTGAATTAAGTTACTCGTGAACAGCTCGGCTAGAGGATTACTTGGAAGTCGAGATCGGCTCGCCTAATTTGAAGTGGAGATCACGTTAGCCGCTCGAGTATCTTGTCGAGATGAGGCGTGCCCGCCCATACTCAATTCAACGGGCCTGCAAGTCTAAATCTAGCCTAATCAAGTTTCTATTTTTTTTTTTATAAAAAAAAAGTATTTCATAGTTACAAAATAGAAACAAGAATATTTAAAATTACATACTATAGCCGCATATACCTATATATGTTGTATATTTCTAGGGAAAAAGTTCGAGATTAATGTGGTCAAGCTCGGGCTAATATATTACTTGATGGTAACGGAGTAGAGTCAAGTCAATCTCGAGGGTCCCGATCCCGTGTTTCAGCCAAGCTCAGTAATTTTAAGTCGAATTTTTTTGCACCGAGCCGAGTAAACGAGTGGATCGAATTCGAACATCACCATATCAGCTGTCGTTCTCCTGCGCGAAACCTAGCCCTCGAAAAACATGCGAGAGAGTATAGCTGGAACATTGTGTTTTGCTCCAATAGCCAAAGTCGAGTAATGTACGCAAAACGCATCCCCTCTTTCAAATGCTTTTGTAGCCGAGGAGAATGAGTTGCTATTTGCCATTGCCATCCCCAGTCGGATGGGTTTTGAAGGCAATTGGTCTGCTAAGTTCTACTAGAGAGGATAGAAAAAGTCTAAAACAGCCTGATGGAACACACGGAGAACAGAAGGGCTTGAGGGCCGTTAAAGCTCTCTGTTTTTCTCCTACAAAGAGCCTGAAAGCTTTCATGGTGGAAAATCCACCCGGCACCCAAATCATACCATTCCACGGCGCAAGCTAAGTTACCCCCGCCCCATGAAATGGTTCGACACGAGGAGGAGCTCGATCCGGTGCAATCTTATGCCTAGAATGGTGCTCCGATTTTCACAAACTCTTCTTCAAATCCCATCCCCCCACAGCATTAAACTTTTGAATCTGCTCAAGATGATGCTAAAGAGAGAATTTTTGCACTAGCAAGTTTCAATACCAAGTTTCAATATGCAACTGCAGCAATTATATTTTGTTTAAGGAGGGTTACACCAATCAGACTGGGTGTAGCCAGCGATAACGTAACACACCATCTCTCGACTCCTAATTGGAACAACTATTAGCTTGCATTAATTCAAGACATCATGGCATGGAAAGAACTCCTACCAGACACCTAATTATCTAAGATACAGAAACATAGACGCAGCCGGCCAGAGCTAGCCTTCATAATCGCCCTGTGCAAACTTGTTTTCCGGGTAGAAGACGGCTTGAACAATATTTCCTCCAAATTTTCTTCCATTCAGGCCTGTGCGGGCCTTGGCAGCACCTTCAACATCTGCGTACTCTAAAAACACCTGAAAGGAATGAAACATACAATTATTAATTTGTGGTCAGGTCTTTTATGGCAACAGAGCACTACATTATCAACCCCCAAATCCATCATTTCCTAAGTCTTGCACAGTAGGCACATTGGCCACAGAAGATAGAAAAGAATCAGAAACAACGAACCATAATATAAAAGATAATTTGCAACTTATGATGGGAGAGGATTGTAACGTGGTAGCAGCCAACACCCCTTACCGCCTCCTCCAAACAATGTCATAAAAAAAACCAAAAGCAGAAAGACACAGGAGCACCCGTGTATAATATAAAAGATAATTTGCAACTTATGATGGGAGAGGATTGTAACGTGGTAGCAGCCAACACCCCTTACCGCCTCCTCCAAACAATGTCATAAAAAAAACCAAAAGCAGAAAGACACAGGAGCACCCGTGTTTTCCCAACACCCAGAGGGAGAAAAATGCAGACAAACGCAGATACCCAGGGAGGCAGAAGAGCATTGCCCATCGCAGGTGGTAGAATTACCTTTCCAACACCTGCGGAAGGTTCTCCATCTGGTCTGGGACGAGGTATGGCCACATTCACCAAATTACCTGCAAAACAGGTATCATTAGAACAAAGAAAAGAACTTAGATTTCGAAATCTAGGTGAAGATATAAGGCTTTGGAAACTTCTTTCTGAATGTTAGGCCCGATTCTTTAAGCAGAATGTGGAACAAGAAAAGGCTGTAAAACAGAGATACAGCACAAAGAAAGAACAAAAATATTAATATACTTTTGACGAGTCAAAAACCTCAAAATAAGAGCAGAAATTAACAAGAACTACATAGACAGTTCTTACCAAATTTTCCGCCTTCTTGTCTCATATCCTCCAATATATCTTCATACTCCCCATCATCTTTAAGCTCATCCTCAGCAACTACTTGTGTTAGACATACCACTTTTGTAGCAAGTGCACCAGGTTGATACATAAGCTTCTGCAAAAGTTAAAAAGCCTTGGTAATTTAGACTTGAGGACATAATCGTAACAAGACAAATTAAAAAGAAGAAACTAATGTCACACATTCAACGAACCACATCTCAGTTAAAGTTCCAACTCACAGATGCAAAATAAAATAGAAGTGGAGATGACGGTGAAAAAAACTACTATGAATATACTCGAGAATATGTCAACAATGCTGCTATAATTCACGTAACTGAAATTGCAAGAATTAGCCAAGAAAATTGAAATTGTAGAAAAACATGACCATGCAAAAGCACTCCTCAACAATGAATGTCAAAACCTTTCACCTGCAGAGCTATCTGCTGCTGTGCATGCAACAAAACACTCTCTTGTTCAGGTTTTGGTTGGTTTGCACCCTGGTTAGCACGCCTAACAGTGAGAGTCTTGTCGCCCATTTTAATGCCATTGAGAGCTGCACAAGCTATATCCGTGACTGAGAGATCTTGATAAACGCAAAAAGCATAGCCTTTGGAATTTCCAGTCTCCCTGTCTTTCACTAGATCAAAACCCCTAAGAGGACCAAAAGATTCCAGCAGCTCCCTCACTTGCACTTCTGTAAAGTAATATGGTAATCCACCCACAAAAATGCGGTCAGGACCTTCAAGCCCGCCAGCAGAACCCGGGGTTAACCCAACCGCACCAAGATTTAGATTAGGATTAGGTTGGCTAGGACCAAGAGTTGCTGCAAGGGAGGGGTTGTAATCACTGGGCCTCCTGACCTTCACAGGCGCTCCCTGCACAAAAATTCAAACTAGTTAACGTTTTGTCAATGTTGTAGATATATGAATGTCCTTGAAAAAAGGGGGCAGATCCACCACAAGAAAAATGTAGGATTACGTTAAAAATGTAATTGAACTTACCTCAAAGATAATGCCATCTAAGGCCATCGCATTGCTTGCCTCCTCAACAGATCTCATTTCCACAAAAGCAAACTTCTTTTCATGGTTTATGTAAACATTGACAACAGCATCCCCTGTGCACATAAAAACAAAAGATGAAAATCAATACCGTAATAGAAATGTGAACTAAAATAGTTATTAACTCAAGGACTTAAAATTAAAGTCCTCCTACCTGGACCTGCAGTATTTCCTCCAATAGCAGCCATAACCTGGCTAAAAAAGGTCGCAACCGACTGCATAGAAGGTTGGAAGACCAAATTATTTGCAAAAGCACTCAAAAAAAGATCATTGAAAAAAAACATAGAAGTAAAGCTATATGAAGGGAAAAACCTGCTCATTTGCTGTAGGTGGCAGACCTCCCACATATACCCGTCTAGCATGTCTAGTAGCCTGCAAAGAAAGATTATAGATACCACTCTACAACAATAATCAACCTTGTAAAGAGGGGAAAGGAAGCATCAAAAATTTTCAAACCAACCTGCTGAGTCATTGCTTGGACTGGCATAACAGGAAGAGTGCCAAACGGCTGCATGGAATGATAATTAACAGTGTCAACATCTGAGTGAAGTTAAATTCTGAGAGAAGGAAAAAAAAAATACCTGTCCAGCTCCTAAAGGGAACATGTTTGGAAACATCCCTGGAATGGTTGGAGCTGTCCCAGGAATTTGACCTGCTAGCAAGTGAGAGGGAGAAAACAATTTCTTCTCAGAGCGGTTAAATAAAGTCCTTAAGCAGTCAATATTAATACCGAAAGTATTTTTGTAGCTAAAACATCTTTCGCATAATCCTTTTCATAATCCATCGTGATATCCTCTAATGTGCATTTGTAAATCAAAAGAGAAAATACATTACTTATATATTAAACAATTGTAAAACTACCAAAAGAGGCAATAGTTGCAGGTGAAGACGAACAAGACCCATCATACCGGTGAATGGTCCTCCTTGTACATAAAAGCTAGAGAAGTCGGCTCACGCATATTGTCAGCACAGTGGGGCAAGTAGCCCTACATTGCCTTCTTAACAATGGACAAGACAAAGAAACAAACAAAACAAACACCAACACAACAAAAAACCAGAAGCCTCTCAGTTCCAGAAGTAACTTTACTAAGAAAGGAAAAATTCAGTACAACCCAGTAAGACCACCTTAAATGCTACATGCGTAGTAAAAATTTAACATAAAGAATAGCTTACCAAAATGACACCATCCTATTTGATAGGAACTTTCCACACTATATCGAACAAGGAGAAGAAAGAAGTTATAAGTACATAAACATTATAAATAATGAGACTAAAAACATACCAGTGACAGCGACGGCGGCAGCAGCGCCTAACATTGCTGAAGGAGGGGGCGCCATATCAAAACCACTAATCCTTTTGCTGAAAGCAAAAATGTTAATAGGATTGCAAAAGAAGCCAACCTAAGCAACCACAGGCCACATAAACTTTAATCTGACCCACGCATACCTACACTCACACAGACATGTTAAGGAATCATTGTACATACATGGGTGCAAATTCGCATTTTGAGCACTAATATCACATTTCCGATGCTATTACGAAATGCCAGTTATTCCTCGGTCCAATTTTCTGTAAAAACTGCACCCTTTTAAACTGGTGATAACTAATAACTTAAAAAAGCTAATCATTTTCATTTTTCACATGGTAATGGAAAAAGGGACTCCAGCATTCTAATACAGTAGCCCAGGCCCATCATATGACAGATTTGCTTCGGTAACTTCCAATAGATGTTTCAGCACTCTATGAAATGAGCCGCCATCTAGAGAATGTCCCCATGACACAATATTATCAGATTATTGGGCAGAGTGATGTAGCACAAACATAAATATTGTTAATAATGACATCAGCCTACACTATAGAAATCAGTGACAAGAATGCAAAAGAAAAAGCAACATAATTCACAGGTACATTTACAAGAAGAAGTGACATCATGGCATACCTCTTCGAGCGGGAGCGGGATCGTGACCTTGACTTGTGCTCTGACCTGCCCCGTGATCGAGATTGACGCCGGTGCCTGTCTTCTCGATCTCTGTCAAAATCTCTGTGCCTGTAAATAAGGAAGAAGAAGAGTTTTAAACTTCCACAGAGAAATAAGATGTCAAAAGTCAAATATATTCTGAGCACATTAGGGGAAGCGAAAGTGTAGGGACAATAGCTAGGCTTGGCCTAACCCTCATCTTACATCAAGCTCTAATGGAATACAGCTGAAGATGTAATGGGAAGTAAAGATAAACACCGAAGGGCTGTTGCTTCTTTTACCTATTATCAAAATCTCGACCGCGGGGAAAATCATCATCGTCATCTCTCTCTCGTCCCCGCTCCCTTCTCTCACCGCGATCCCTGTGGCGATCCCTGTGGCGATCACGGTCCTTTTCTCGATCGCGATCCCTGCTCTTTTCCTTATCTCTGTCTCTGTCACGACTCTTCCCTCTGTCCTTCTCACGATCACGGTCCCGGTCCCTCTCTCTGTCCCTATCCCTCTCCTTATCACGACCTCTATCCCTCTCTTTGTCACCGCTCTTTGAGATCTCCCTTTCATAATCTTGTGAGCCGCGCTGCAAAAATTTAAGTATGTGAGGATCTCCTCAGAGTTAACAATCCAAAGGAAGTAAAATGGCAGTGCGACCAAGGTACCAAAATCAGAGAAAACAAAGCACTTAGAGCAAAACGACAAGTCACATTGGGGCCCAATTACTTAGCTAGAAGGCATAATTAGTCATCTAGCTAAGTAAGAAATCAATTTCAAGGCCTACTTCATCATTATCCTTTCCTAATTGATAATCCAGCAAATGTCCTCACATTGGGAAACCACTATCGCAAAGGGTTCGATTCCTTGTTCACCCAAAACGGCAAAAGAGAAGAAAAAAAAGAAAAAACCTACCTTTTCTTCGCCAGTAGAACAAACCCTGCCTATTTCGCAGATTGGTTGTGAAGATAAGCCGAGATCGACATTGTCCCCAATACACAAAGCAAAGAGCACAAGACACAAAATTGACTACAGAAAAATATTCTACCGATGTAAAACTTTCCAACCAGCACATATCGATCTATTCAAGCAAGCAATCCTCCAAGAGCGATCTCAGCAAAATTTGCCCTAAAATCGCCTCAAAAGCGAGGCCTAACCACGAATCGAGCATTTCCTGCGCCGCACAAACCGGCGACCAAACCCTAAGCAGCACTCCACGAATCGATTGCAAAAAGAAGACGATCGAAATCCGCGAATCACCTGAGATTTGGAGTCGCCACGATCGTCGGGGCCGCGGGGAGGAGGAGAACCGCCGCGGTAGCCGTCGAGGTCGTCTCCGTTCCCTTCGTATCTTCCGTCGTAGTCCGTCATCTCCGCTGGTTTCGCCGGCTACGGCGTCGCCCTGGAACGAGCTTTCTTCGATTCGGTGACCGAACTGGCTATACGCTTGAAGCTGAGTTCTTTGCGTCCTAGGGCTTCTTTCGGACGCAGGGTTCAGGATGCTTCCTTTATATATGCTCGATGCATTAGATAGAGAGAGAGAGAGAGAGAGAGAGAGAAGGGGCGAACTTGTAAGGACAAAAATCAAACATGGGGTCCCTCAACTGTGGTTTGCTGTGCAATTTTACCCTTAAATTTTTAATTTGTTCAATATGATCCCTAAACTTTAAATCAATGTGCAATATTATCCCTAAACTTTTTTTGTACATGTTCACTATCCCAAAATTTGAATTGATGGAAGAATAATATTGGACAATTTTATATGGTCTATGGAATAGTTTGAAGACATTTAATAATTAAAACATGGTAAGGACAGAAATCAAACATATGATTTTTGAACTTTAGTTTGCTGTGCAATTTCGTCTTTGAATTTTTAATTTATTAAATATGATCCTTAAACCTTTGGACCAACGTGCAATGTCATCCCTGAACTTTTATTCGTACATGTTCAATTTAGTCCTTACATTATATGAAATTGTTCAATATGTCACAAAATTTGAATTGATGGAAGGATAATATCGGATAATTTTATATAGTTCATGGACTAGATTTAGATATTGAATAATTTAAAGTTTGGAGATCATATTGCATATTTGATTAAAATTCATTGACAACATTGAACAAATAAAAAATTCAGGAACGACATTACACATTGAGTCAAAGTTTAGTAACCATTTATATAATTATCCGAACTTATACATTAGGCGGCTCGGTTGCAGATTTTGATGTCACTACCAATGAGTGATCGATTACAATTATTATTTTTTATTGCGTTAACGAAATTTTTCTAAATTCAGCAAATAAAGAGAATCAAATTATTTTTATGATGGTATACTTATTAAAGGTCGTATCATAAAACTCCTTTTATGAGAAATGTACTTTCTGTCATTAAATTAATCTTAACTTTTGTGGTAGCGAATTAATGGATTATTATTAAATCAAATATAGGTTTAGTTTGCCTATTACAATCTTCGAAATTAGGAAAAACAAGTGAACATACTCTATGGAAAAGGAATGAACACCAAACGGAACATGCGTATATGTAATATGCACAAAATCATAGATCGAACTATGCCTAGCATTTTAGGAGACTCGATTTGGGTCGGGAGCACGACATGGTTCAATTCCTCAAGTAGCTGAGTACAAACAATTTTATGTTCGTGCCAACATTCTAGGCTCCAATTCATGTCTTACCTAATCCAATAGGTTAATGAGATAGTTCCCGAGTCTAAGATTTGCTTTTCTAAAACGTACTTCCTCAATTTATATTATCTAAACTAGAGTAAAAGAGAAGAGAACGCCCCACATTTAAGAGATTTCAATTGTTTTTTTTCCCCTAAATATCCTAAATTACTCATTATACAGATTTTGTATCCATGGGCAAATATGTAAGGTGATAATCTTTTATCTCTGACGAATTTCAATATTAAAATTTGAATCTTTTTTATTCCACAGTGACCTTTTCTAAAAAAAAGTCAGGTCTTTTGATATTTTATATATCCACGTATGCACTCCCTTTATATTTTGCATTTTTACTATTCAATTTTTTCATCATTTAATTATTCAAATATTTCATAATAAATGATATTGTATAATCATTGAAATTTCAAGTTCTTGCGTGCTTTGACAAAAAAAAAAAGGTATTGCGTGCACACTTGTTACACATATACTAGCATTATAAAAAGCAAAAAGGACCTCCCATTTTGAGGGATCTCAATCCTTTTCTTCTGTCCCAAAATATCATAAAGTGCTTATTTTAATAATTATTCTATCAATGCACGAATGCATAATTAAATAATCCATTTTTATCTCTCTTGTATTTCACATTTAAAAAATTTTCATCTCTTATTATAAAGAGCCTTGCCAAAAAAATTTCTAGATATTTAAGTATTTTTTTCTCTTCCCACACATTTGTGTACAATTTCTTTACATTGCATCAACAAATCTCTCCATTAATTAGTAATTTAATTATTTCTTATTAATTTTTGATTTTGTGAAATCCTACAAATGTCATTATTGTTTGCACATATTAAGATAATGAATCGGTGGGCTCGAGTCTCGCTTAGGCCGACCGGACATCATATGTCGACTTATTTTCCAAGCCTGCCCAAATTGATCTTTAGGTTATATTTGATTTTATAACTAAATTAATGAAAAACTAAAATTTATCGCTGAATGGAATATATTTATAGGTAAAATGTAGCCTATAAATGACTAATCAAGTCTTTTTAGCAGAAAATCCGACCAAATTCAGCTCGTGGCCGTAAAGGACACTAGAGTGTGAAATGGATTAAATATTGCTGACACTAACCGTGGATCGTGGATAATGTAGTGATTTTTAATTTATTTTTATTATTCTCTCGCCTATTCTTTACCCACGGTGGGTGTCCACATAAGTAGTGTTTAATCCACGTTACGCTCCGACAGTCATATCTGCTAGATTTTTGACCGAAGGACTTGGTCAGACATTTTTTGTACGTGAAGTTACTTGATTAGAAAATCAAGAGTATAAAAACTTGATAAGAAAAGTAATGAATTTACGCAACGAAAAATACAAATTTTCCAACTTTACACACAAGAGATATTGTACATTATACTTTATCCTAGATCGCAACCGATATTATCGATTTGGCAACAAAGTGTACACGAAAACGACGGATCGTTTCTTCTTGTTTCCGGCTTTAAGGGTCAGATGGTTGTCCCGGTCAGCTTTCATGTGCTTCATTTACCCCACATCGATCTGGTGCGTTGTTTTAAAAGGGTGTGCTCCTCCACATCGACCTGGTGCGTCCTGGACTTTCAAGACCACGAAAAGGAAAAGGAGCAAACTTTCTCGCCATCTAAGCCGACATCTCGCCGCCGGCGAATCGATCTCGTCATTAATCTCGATGTAGTTAGTCATCAAACCACATACCGTATGTTTCAAGCACGAAGGTAAGCCCTAGAATTCTCTCCGCGAAGTCTCGCGAGGCTAGAGGGCCCTTCGGCGAGCACCAAAATTTCTGTACGTGCTTGGGCCTCAACTTCATGGACCGGGCCTCACTGCTAATTATTCCAAAATGGGCCCATTTAATTAAACCTCCTCTTAATTAAATGAAAAGGCACCATCAAAGGTAGTCACATCAATCCAAAAAAATCCTCCGCAAGAAAAGTATTACTCGAAATTTCAAAAAATTTAGGAGCACGGTCACGACTCGAATTCGTGTGATGCTGCCCCCGCCGACGACGAAGCTTCTATAGAGAGCCCCCGTCGTCTTTGTTAAGGCCTCGCCAGTCGCTATTTGCACTAGCCGTCCCGAAAGCTCGAGGCCAAGAACAAAAAAATAAAAATTAGAAATTAAATAAGATCAAGGGCGAAAAAAAAAATTAAACAAATGGTGGTGGGGGGGCCCACATGGTGCCTAAAATAATGGGGACTTTGAACGGGAAGGGGGGGTTGGCTCCAAGTCAATGCAAAGCGATGATGATCCCGTTGAAAAGGCCCTTCGCCGGCCTTTTTGGTCGCCACCCCCACCCCCACCCCACACACACACACACACTAAATCTTATCCTCTTTCCTTCTTCACCCCCCCAGCCTTTCTTTCCTCTTTCCTTGGCTTAGCGACTAATTAAGTACTTGGTTTAGGTATCGTAAATTAGGTTTCCTTCGCGTCCCGAACTCCCGCCGGTATCCCCCCCGGAAGTTGCTCGGGCGGGAACAGCCCCCCCCTGCCCCCAGATCGAGGAAGTGCCGCACGAGCCGCTGCTCGATCGGCGCTCTCATCGCCGTCCTCCATTTCGACGGTACCGCGATCGCCCCGCCGTAAAAACATTTTGTTTTTTTTTTCCATAAAAATGCACAAAAAAAAAAAAGCACACCCCCGACCTCTAATATACCAATTGATCAAGCACTGGAATAATATCACGAGATTACCAATTGCCAAAAACCAAAAGATAGAATGGAAAAACAGAAATTGCCACGAAAAGTCGATTAATGTTCCAGGTGGACCGGTGCGTTGAATTTGGGAGATAAATGTCGGGCAATGCCCACGTGGACCGCCGAACTTTTAGATGGCGATTTCTTACCTTTTTGGAGCACGGACGGACCGACCCCCATTGCACGTTTTGCATTGGTTCCCCTGTAGTTTCCCATTTACTCTGGTCTCATCATTTCTTTTGTTTTTTGGGTCTTTGACACGGTGCAGAAGATTGTGATCAAAATGCACTTCCATGGATACTTCTCTCTATCTTTACAGTGCAGTAATTCTTTTTTTTTTTATAGTCCGGGCCGATCGGGCTCCCGATTCACGAGTCGATCGATCGAGCTGCCGATACGATTTGTAAACACCAAATCATCCATTTCCTCTCTCTATCTTCATGTGGTAAAACTCCCTCGAACTCTTCTTTCTCCCGCAAGCAACTGCCACACCATTTCCCCACGTTTTCTCACTCCTATTGTCTTCTCCAAACGCGCAAAACATGCATTACCATCTAAGCATGCATAGCGCAATACAAATCGGAAAATGAAACCCGATTCGCCATCGTCGTTTTACAAAGGGATGTACGCCGATGCATTACCATCAAACATTATGGTGACCGATGGACGGCAGGCGATGGCGGGAGACGGTGACCGACGGACGGCAGGCGGCGGCCCATAGCGGCCGGCGGCGGGAGGCGGGAGGCGGCGGGAGGAGGGCATGTGGCAGCGAGAGACTGTGGCCGGTGGACGGCGACGGGAGGCGGTCGGCAGCGAGCGGTGGTGGCGAGAGGCGATTGGCGGGTAGCGGCGGCGGCGGGAGACGGTGGCTGGTGGATGGCGAGCGGCAGCCCACAGTAGCCGGCGATGGAAGACGGTTAGCGGCGGGAGGAGGGCGTGCAGGGTGGGAGACGGTGGCCGATGGACGGCGGGCATGCGGCCAGTGGCGGGAGACGGCGAATGACGGGAGGCGGCGGTCGGCAAGTGGGCGGTTGGTGAGCGACCGGCTAATAGCGAGGACGAGCGATGAGAAAAATTTTTATTTCTCATTTTTGTTTCAGAAATAGAAAAGTAGAAAATTTGTACTTTTCATTTCTGTTCCAAACCTATTTCTGTAATCAAAATTTGTTCCAGAAAATAGAAAAATGAAATTGCGTTAGCAAGCGGATTTTTGTTTCAAACCTGTTTCTGAAACTGAAAAATGGAAATAGAATAGTTATCATTCGCAACCTTTTGGATTAAAGACAGGCGCGTCCCGAGCGATATCAAGCCCAGTCGTCACAATTTAAGGTACGGGTCCACGACAGTAACAGCTGCTGCTGAAAAATTACCGATTCATTTATCTCACGTTCGTTGCATCCCCAGTTCACATAGGCGCAATTCTTCGATTCGATCAACATGAATACCTCCTGCTGCATTATCTCTGCAATATGGTAAGGAGGCAGGGAGATGGTTGGAGACGACTAGTTAGCTAGTGTTTCCATGTATACGAACGTGGCAGATCGAACATAGATTGAAAAATCACTAGAAACTAAGGAGATGAGTGATAAATTCATATTATATTTGACAAGGTATCCTGTGCCTTTTTAGGAAGATACTACGTACGGGAGGTAAGGTCCAAGATATAGAGTTCATTCAACGTGCGTGGATGTCACCAAAGCAAATAAAGAAACTAATCTTATACTCAACTGATTCCAAAGTATCAAAATCCTACTGTCCATCTTGAACCTACTCAAGAGATCCTCGAGAGGTATACCACTAGGGTTAGTTTCGATAGTCATATCTCAATTCTGGCTCGTAATTTCTCGAAACTTAGAATACCGAGACTAAATTCAAATGAATACGTTAATCCGCACGGACTTGGGCTCCCCCTTTCACCGATCCCTCCACGATGCTCGTAGGATGCGTGACAAACGAAAGAGATTTTCAATTGGATGTATGCTTCTTGCATGCAAAAATGAGAGCATTTCCTCTATTGATTTTCAATCAATATTTTCTCGAGGCTTGGACCCCCTGACGATGGATGCCGTTCCATGTCGACAAGATGTAGGACCCCACTGCCAAGCTTCGCGATCAAAGTGAATTTCCCCTTTTATAAAGCGTAATAAAGAATTTCTCATTTAGACATGCCAAACGATATGCTTTCGTTAGTTATTTTTCGTGACAAAGTCTCATGCAATGCGTCATTGCGCTGTTTTGACTCGGGAAAATTGTCCAAAAGGTCTTTAACCTATTGTTCAGTGACAATTCAGTCCTGATTTTTTAATTTGACCAATTCAATTTTAAATTTTTTGATGATTGGCCAATGTAGTTATTTTGACCAATTTTGACTAAAAATTTCTATAATGGTGGTCTCGTTAGCGCCGGTTGCCAGACAATCAGCGCGAGTCATCCCGCGTGGCAACGGTTGGTGACCGACTCTATAGTGAACAATTTTCGCGACTTCTTTTTTTTTGTTTAAATTTTCAGAATTTTTACGTTGTTGGCCATCACCGAGGCCCTTGGCGACCCGCAAGGAAAAAAAGATTAAAAAAATAAAAAGAATCGTCCGCGTCACCGTCAATCATGCCACGTAAACACAACCGGCGTTCATGTCAGCGATTTTCCAGTCGAAATTGGCCGGAAAAGCTACATTAGCAAATCGTCAAAAATATCAAGGATTAAATTGACAAAATCGAAAAGTTTAAGATCGAAATGGTGCCGAGCAAATGGGTTCGGGACTTTATGAACAACTTTCCCGTTTTAACCGAGTTCCAATGAAGTCTGTTAAGGTGGTCCTACTCGACTGGAAGAGCTCACACTTCATTAAATACCATCACCACCACTGCAGATTCTTCATTGATTTCGTTGATTTCACTTCCCAATTTCTGATGATAGATGGCCCCTCGTTTCCCATTAAAGATCAAAACAGAGGCACCGAGCTCGCCCTCCAATCTCCATCTCTTCAATTGCAGCCTGGGAAGTTCCCACAGTTCCTTATCCCTCTTCGTTTCCCCTTCAAGAGCGGTGCAGACGCATTGATGTTTGGGGGAAGCGGGGGCCGGGGGCGGGGCGGGGGGGCCGCTTCGAGGCGAGGCTATTTTCGAGGCGCCGGCACGTGTCGGCCGGGCGGGCCGCCCCCACGTAAGCGTGTGCGGTTTCCTTGCTCATGCCGAGCTGCTTCCCCCATATGGAAAGCGAACGAACGAATTGCCCCCCCCACCCCACCACCACCTTTTCCCAATTCGACCCCCGCTAAATGCTCTAATTATACATACAATGAAGCTATGTTTTTTTGCCTTCGAAAGTGTACGGGGACTTTGGCCAATTGGACGACGTGCGTCAGCTTTTGCCGCACCGAGGCATCGCCAAAAAAAGCATCATTCGTCGTCCGACCAAGAAAAGTGTTGGAAAATGGGGGTGGGTGGGGGGGTTCTGGAAAGCGAATCCGATCTGACCCGGAGCGATTCGCAAGTCCTCGCGCTTTCGGATGGATGGATGGATGGCGTGAGGCGGAAAAGTCAATCCGTTGCCTTTGACGGGGTAGAAACGGTGGCCATGCTTGTGTTTTTGCTTGAAGGGCAAGAAAGAAGAAATTTACGGGATAAGTCGAGCTGTTAGGACGAGGAAAGGTCGGGTTGAGATCTAGAAACTTAAGATCTCCTCGAAATTCGTCCACGATGACATTGGATGTTTTTGCTCTCGATTAGATCGGTCGATGCGAGCAGATGGGGGGTGAATCTAGTTCAGGGGTATGGAGGGTCAAGACGAAGAAATTTCGCGGCCCCCAAATAGGGGGTACGAGATATAAAAAAACCTTATGTGGAGTTTCTCGAAATGCATTATGTGTTTTTTTTTTTGGGCTAGTAAATACAGTAAGCACCATGACACTCGAAAAGGTGACGAGTCTCGCTGACCCTTCAATCAATCAGACCCCACTATGGATCGAGAAAGTTTGAGGTCCGCACGGGTTCACTTTCTTTACTCAATTTAAATCTCGCGATTCACACGACTCGACTCGTTTTTCGTTGATTCGAGATTTCCTTAAACTTTCAGAAAAATTCAGAGCGTCGACAAGTAAATCCACATTCTTTATATTTTTTCTTCTTTTGGTGGGGAAGGGGGTCCAAATCGAAATCCATATGCAATTTCAGTTCGAGATATATAAATAAATAAAATTAGGTGAACCTCCCTTCCCCCATCGCGAATCCAAACACCGCGCTACACGACAAAACACGTCCCCCGAATAGGACAAGGCGTCCGGTGCGGTGTGGTGAGCGCTCCCGACAGGCAAGCGACGAACCCTCCCCTCCCTCCCTCCCCCCCCTTCCTCTGTTCCTTATCTCTCTTTGCTGTCTGTCTGTCTGAAATTCAGACAAAGTCTTCCCCCCCCCCCCCCACAAGTCTTCCCCAATCATGGTTAAAAAAAAACTTAAAATTAACCAACATCAGCTCGAGCCTTTCTACCCTTTTTGTAAAGGGGAGATTGCTTTTCATTAACCCCCCCCTCCTCCCGGCTCGGAAAGAGGTTTTCTGCTCGCGAGACTTTTTGGAGATAGCGAGGGGGGAAGGGGGGGAGACATGGGAAGTTGGCTGGGGGACCAATGACTTGCAAGATCTCTGTCCTTTTTCTTGCCCCTTGTCCCAAACTTGCACACAACTCTCTCTCTCTCTCTCGCGCGCGCGCGCGCGCTCGCTGGTCTTTCTTGAACCCGAACCCCGTTCACACCCGGATCTTGGAAACGCAGGAAACGAGTTATAAAAGAACCAGAATATCAGCTGCCTGTGGAAACGAAAGGAGAGCTGCTGGGTTTAGTTGTGGTTCGGCCCTTTTCTTGATCGTTGAATCGAAGTTGGGAGGGGGGGGCGCGGCCGGGGACTCTGTGTTTGGTGGGTGGTGTGATCATTGATTCATCAGCTCTGCCTAAAGAGAAGAGAGACGAGAGAGCTTTATCTCCCTCCTCTTTTTTTCACGGTCCTGGGTTTAATCATTGGGGGGGTTTTTTTTTTTTTTTTTTTTTGGGGTTAATGTGTTTCGAGCTTCTTTGGGTCAGAGACTTCATCAGAGCTGTTAGGTAGAAAGGGGAAAAGAGGGGAGCGAAAAGAAAATTGGAAAAAAAGCAGGGGATTGACTGGTAGCTGAGCGAGCTAGCGAGAGCTGCAGCAAGCTGTGACCGAAACCCTAGAAAGATAGGAACTTTCTTTTGGCCCTTTTCTTGAGTGTGTGTGTGTGTGTGTGTTTTTTTTTTCTTTTCTTTCTTTGGCGTGGGGTGGGGGGGGAGCTGGGGGATTTGCCTCCAAGATAAATGAACTTAGATTTTGCCCCTTCTCTTGTCCATTAGGTTGAATCCAAAAGCCACCCAACACGCACCCGAAGAAAAAATTTCTAGAGCCTCCTTAGATATGCCTACAGACCTGGACAATTCGTCCACGGCTTCAGGTGAAGCAAGTGTCTCGTCTTCTGGCAATCAGCCACCTCCGCAACCACCGCCACCGCCTTCCACCACCAAGAAAAAGAGGAGTCTCCCTGGAATGCCCGGTAATAAACTTGCGAAGATCACAAACACACCGTTTCTTTTTTTTCGTCTCCTCCTCCTCCTCCTCCTTGTTCTTCTTGTTCGTGAAGGTGGGGGTGCGGGGTCTTCAATTTCTTATTTGGAAATTTTCTTGTTTCTTCTTTGTTCCTGCAGATCCAGATGCAGAGGTGATAGCTCTGTCTCCCAAGACCCTATTAGCCACCAACAGGTTCGTGTGCGAAATCTGCAACAAGGGTTTTCAGAGGGACCAGAACCTGCAGCTCCACAGGAGAGGCCACAACCTGCCGTGGAAGCTTAGGCAGAGATCAGGCAAGGAAGTGAAGAAGAGGGTTTACGTGTGCCCTGAGCCCACTTGCGTCCACCACGACCCCTCGCGAGCGCTCGGCGATCTGACCGGGATAAAGAAGCACTTCTGCAGGAAACATGGCGAGAAGAAGTGGAAATGCGACAAGTGCTCGAAGAAATACGCCGTGCAGTCCGATTGGAAGGCCCATTCCAAAATCTGTGGCACCAGAGAGTATAAATGTGACTGTGGAACTCTGTTCTCAAGGTTCTTGACTGCAATTTTCCCCCAAGCAATGTCTCTCTTTTTTTGGGTCCAAGTTAACAGTTGTTAGCCTTCTTGGGTTGTTGTGAGCTTGTGAATTGAAGCGGATTGTTCTTCCCCCTTTTGGTGTTTTGTTTTTGAAGGAGGGATAGCTTCATCACCCACAGGGCGTTCTGTGATGCTTTAGCTGAGGAGAGCGCAAAGGCTCAGACTCAGGGACCGGGTCAGGGCTCGGCTCCGATTAAGCCGAACTCGGAGGCCGATCAGAAAGCCCAGAAAACTGCCTCTCCTCCTCCTCATCATCCTCCTCCTCCTCCTCCTCCTCCTCAAGCAGCTGCTCCACCAGCTATACAGTCCTCAGCTGCTATGTTGTCCACAGTTTTGGCTGATCAAGCAGCAGGTAAAAGTTAGTACTAAATCCTGGCTGTCGCTGTGTTTTGGGCTTTAATTTTGTCTTGACGTAGTTGTTTTTCGTCTAGAACGAGCACAAGAAAATCTTTGTCTAGGCTGGGTCTTGGATTAGACGTGATAGCTTCCTTTGTCTGTTACTGATCTTTGTTGTTTCTTGAAGTCTCTTAAGCTGTATTTTATGTATCACGAATTGTAAAATGGTGTTAGTCAGCAAAAGCTTAGCAAGAAGAAACCCTTAGCTTAAAGTTACTCTCTGACCCTTTTAGACTGAAAATCCAAAAGTAACCACAGAGATTCAAAAGCAAAAGAGGTGGAATTGAGAAGTGGATTAGGGAAAGAAGCATAACAGTTGGTTTGGCTTTTGCCTGCAGAGTTACTTTTCTTCTTTATGAAAAAGTTCTAGCTTTTGCTCTCTGATAGACAATATGCCTTTTGAGCTCTATGAGAAATTGTATGACTGTTCGTAATGATTTCGGATTCAATGTAGGGATGCTAGAGAACCCATCCCAAATTCTTGAAGAGCCACCAGTGGCAAGCAGCTTGATAGGAAGCTCTAGCAGCAGCACCAGCTCTAGCAGCAATGGCAAAACAAGCACTAGTGTCATAGCAGGCTTGTTTGCTTCCTCAACTCCGTCCTCAACCTTACAGCCTCCGCAACAGAGTACTCCTTACACTGACTTGATTCGTGCCGTGGCACCACCCGACTGCTCTGTCGACCTTGGGCCTGCCTCATCCGTCGAACCCATTTCCCTCTGCCTCTCCACGAATCACGGGTCGTCGCTTTTTGGCAGTGCAGGGCAGGAGCGTCGGCAATATGCTCCTGCTCCACAGCCCGCTCTTTCAGCCACTGCGCTTCTGCAGAAGGCTGCTCAGATGGGGGCAACTGCAACCACCAATGCATCGCTGCTTCGTGGGCTCGGGATTGTCTCTTCCTCCAACACATCAGGGCAACAAGAGAACTTACAGTGGAACACCAGTAATGTGGAGCACGAAAATGCCTCTGTTGCTGCTGGACTTGGGCTAGGGCTTCCTTGTGATGGGAGTTCAGGTCTGAAGGAACTGATGATGGGGACTCCAACCATGTTTGGCCCGAAGCATCCTACTTTAGATTTTCTCGGATTGGGGATGGCAGCTGGCGGCAACCCGGGTGGTGGTTTCTCGGGTCTTATGACCTCTATAGGTGGTGGTCTTGACATGGCAGCAGCGGCAGCATCATTCGGCAGTGGAGACTTTGTCGGCAAGGACATTGGACAGAGCTCGTGAACTTAATGGGAAGTCGCAGGGAATTAGTATGTGCTGGTGCATATTGTGTACTAAAAGAATTGATGTTGCGCAAGAAGCCACCTAAGAACAATCGAGAAGACGCTTTCCTTGGATAAAAGGTGGAAGAAAACTGTTGATGTGGAAGATTCCATTAAAACTAGAATCTGGGGAGACTTCTATTTTCCCATGTGAATCTGTGATGTGTTGTTAGAGGTACGAGCTATATCAAATGTGATCAAATGATGTTTTAAGTTTGCTCGAGTTTTAGCGGTAGAACAGCAGCGTAGAACTCTGTGAGTTGAATATGGGTAGCTACATTAATCGTCTTGGAGTAATACATCTCAGATGTATTAGTTTTGCCATTTCATTTGTTGTTCAATGTAAAGAAGCCTTAAAAATAGTGAAGATTTGTTATTTTGCCATGAATATCTGAGTGTGGACTGACTAGGCTGTGCTTCGCATCGGTCGGAAAACTTCGCTCACCCCTTGTTGACATCAATCTTGATATTGGTTTGCCAATGTTGTACTCTGTTAGGATAGTGTAGGCAAAGGATATTGCTTAAGTGAAGTGGATCATAGCACCATCCGGACCGAAATCTAGTTCTACTCGGATTGTGATGGTGCAAATCATGATGGTTTCATGAAAAGCAGCAAAAGGGTTATTCAAATCTGTCCCAGATTTCCCATTTATGTTTTCAAGAACCATTCAGGATCTTGTTGCTATGGGCACATGATAGATTGGCATCACTCTCCCGGCTCTTGCACCGAGCGAAAAATCACGTCTTTGCCATGAAAAACAGCGGCTGAGTTTTCCAACGTTTTCCCTTTTTCTGGGTGGTTCTCATCAATCTCCACGCCATGGTTTGTCAAAGGAAACCCTTGGAGCTGGACCAGGTTCCTGATCAACAAAGACAAAATTTTGTTGTTCTCATGCTTTCGTTGGGGGACTTTGGAGTAATGTGATCAATACAAAACCCAAGTAGTTCAAGAAGATGCCAAAGACTTGGTCTGGCATTATTCCCATTGACAAGGGTCGCTTTCCAAGCTGAAGTAAATAGCATGTATATAGAAAAGAAACGGAAACAAATGAAGTCACAAACGGGAACAGAAGAACGCGAATCGGGTCAGGGCGACCTGTTATGCTGCGAGATTTCTTTTGAGTCACTGTCTTTATACCCAACAACTTCCCAGCTGCCGGACCAGATCCTGGGTTTTACTTTGCAGAAAACAATGATGCGAACAAAAAAATTGGTTGGAGTTGTAATTTAATTCGGAAGAGGACCTACTTCCCACATGTTCCATTACGTGCAGTGTGTTCCTCTCCCATGTTATGTACATTGTTCCTCTCTCTCTCTCTCTCTCCGGCGCGAGCAGGGGACAAGGACAGAGTAGACAAATACCCGTTATGGATCCGGGTCCATCATAGCTGTCGATTACATGAGCCCCACGCGTGGGTCGGCACGATCAACGGTTGTGATTGCATTGGGTCCCCGAATCTTGATTATGGATCTCGGTTCAATAACCAAACTGTAAACTCGATGCCCTTTTCATTCTACGGATTATCATGAATGTTAAAGTCAGTTCTTAGTTACTCAGCACTCTCCTCGCATGTTAGTCGGACTTCACACAAGAAGTACAGGCGTGCGTAGACATGAAGACGGCCAAAGAAGAGCAGGACATCGACTAGAGTAAGATATATTAGCAACCCGTGCTTTTTTGGTTCAGCGGCTAAAGGGTCGTGAACCTAGTAAATCACCAAGCCGAGCCATGGATTACGGGGTCTCGGCACCATAGTTCGTGGTTGGTATTGTGAGGACTAAATGCCTTGGAACATGTAAATCATCGGAGGTGCGGAGTAGTCAATTTACCTTAGATACATGTTAGAAATAGATCGTGGTAGTAAAACATTTGGCTAACCATTACAATCAATTCAATTACAATCAGTTCACTTGAGCTTAGTCATAAATAAGCTCGAATGGTGTTATTGTATTATGTCATACTGTAGATATTAATGTCTAGGTTTAGCTAATAAACATTTATTTAGAATAATAATGGAGACTCGATTAGGCTCACCGTTACAATCAGTTCATTAAAGAACTCGAGCTTGAGCTTTGTCACAAATAAGCTCGAACGGTGTTATTGTATTATGTCATACTGTAAATATTAATGTCTATGTTTAGCTAATAAACATTTATTTAGAATAATAATGGAGATTCAATTAGGCTTGCGTGCTCGTAGAGCTAACACTTGTCGAGCTCGACTCGAAATCAAACGAGCTGACCTCACGGGATCGTCGAGCACGGTCTGAACTACTCAAGAGTAGCTTGACTTGGTGTGATCCCCCGTAGAAACTTGCACAACCTCTTGATCCAAACTTTTACCGTTCTGTTTGGAAAATGTACTTCACTTATTTAAAATTCGACTCTTGTTCCAATTTTGTCCCTCATATTATTTTACATCACTTGATCGTTATCCTCAGAACATGGTCATTTTGGCCCAATTAGTAGCCGAAACACATGATATCTAATTATTGAATGAACAGCGAGCTATAATTACTCAAAGAAAATGATGATTATCTCATAAATTGGACGTTCTCTACATGTTAAATCAATTGCTTAAGCTGGATTAGAACCGATGTACAGAGACTAGAAGTTATTAATTGAAGTTTCCTCATTTAATGGATTACATAGCCCCACAAATTCTGCTATAAATGTTCGATTTTTTCGTTTTTGATTCTTTAGTCAATCGGTCAATTTATCCATATCTACAATCTTCCCTACGGCCTTGTCTATCTGTCGATCTATCTATCTATTTATTGAGTAGGATTAATGTCACGAAAAATTTCAGACTGGTATACCTGTTAAAAACTAATTTTTTGTCCACCATAAATCCAAATTCTGTATACTTGTGAAGTAATTTTTTGACCATAAAAAATTTCAAATTGATACATTTGTGATAAATTTACTCTCTGTTAAATTATATTAATATCACGAAAATCCATAAACTGGTAAACGAGCGACAAACGGAGGGGTGAAATCCAAAACTTGTACACCCGTCAACTGTCACGTGTCATCCAACTCGATAAACACGACACCTGTTTTGCGGTTTTTGATAGTTAAAAAATTAGTTCGGGATAAATTTGTCACAGATATATCGCTTTGAGGTTTTTCGAGGTATTAACCCTAAAATCTAAATTAATTAAAAAGAAAAACCTAATAATTTATCCCGACGCGCCGAAAATCTTCTATAACGAAGCCATTTCACACTTAAAGTTTTACGATAAGCTCGATGACGCCATAATTCATTTTCGTGACACCAAAACTACTCTTTTTTGTTTGCCTTTTTACTTGCGTTTTACATAGCAAGGAAAATGAGAAATTCCGGGGGCGATAATATCCACCAGAAAAGAATCTTGTTGACTTTGACCGGGGGGTGGGGGGGCATTGATTGTGGTTTCTGACTGGTGGAGGAGGTTGAGTCATAATTGGCAGCTGCTGCTGTTTCGCTGGAGCAGGACCACCCCCTCCCTCTAGAAGTGGCCAAACACGAAAAAACAACGAAGGAAAAGAAAACGATGGATGTTGGAGCTTGCCAAGAAAAACGTTACGGGAAAATGACGCGAATAATCCATGAATTTTGATATAATATGTAATGTGATTCATAAAATTTTAATTTGTTCAATGTGATTCCTGAACTATAATTCAATGTGTAACGTGATTCCTGAACTTTTTAAATCGTTCAATCTGGTTCATAAACTTTTGGTTCATGTTTAATTTAATGCCTGGATTATATGAAGATGCTTAATACCGTTTCGGAACTTGAATTAATGGAATGACAACATTGAACATTTTCGTATAGTTCAGGGACTAAATTGAACATGAACCAGAAGTTGAGGGGTCACATCGAACAAATTAAAAATTCAGAGATCACATTGCACATTGGACCATTTGTTTCATTATCCCATACCTTCCAAGAGACATGTTCAAATCCTCGAGTCTCTTCTTGATTTCCAAGAAAGACATCGTTTGCTCGCAACGCAGGGTCGATCGTGCTGTGGTGTATGGCGATCCCGGGCTTTTTACTTCCGCTGGAGTTTATGGTGGAGGGACGACGACAGGTTCGTTGAAAGATGAGCAGTAGTTATCACTCAAACCGAACAATCCGTCAGAAATGTCGAACACTTTGAAATACTATCTAGGGGGATCACAGATGTTGATGTATCCCTTCCCATGCCTTTTCACCGATGAATCAAAGAGGAGGAGGAGACACAGACATCATGGAGGAGATCCGTCCTGATCTGAATAGTGCCATGTCATTTGCTTGTGGGTTTCCATTGTATCGGCATCTTGTCTTCAATGATATGTTCCTTGACCCAGATGGTGTGCCGCGCAGAGTCAAGCTTAGAATTGCCACAAAAATATAATGTGGGATATGGACATGGTTGGTACCCTTGAAGTTTTGGAGCCACCAAGCCTTTCATGGTGAAATTTGGAGGATTTGCAAATTGGAAATGTTGAAAAAAAATTGAGAATGTCCGAGGCGTGCAACTGCCGTTTTCAAAGATGAATTTCGCCCTTCGCGAAATACGAAAGCTATGCCGTGGCTATCGTCAAGAATTCAATTGACCCTTTAAATAGCGTGCGCCTCACTATTTAGATAGAGCGGGGACAACAAGAAGTACGAGAACAATATAGAGCAAAAACAGAAGAGAATATTTCGTGGGCGTAGATTTGAGCGTGGAAAAAGAATAAAGTTGTCGATATCTATTAAAGATATATAACGTGAATAAACAAGAGTATTTCAACTAAGAATAAATATTAAAATGGCTAGCTAAACCGCTACTAGAGAGTCAACAACAGCTCGTAGAAGTCAACTATCGGAACATTTAATTAGCAAGGGACGATTTAAACTTTTAAAACAGTTGGTTTTGATCCCAAAAAACATCATAATCAACGATGATCGATGGACACCTACCTTTCGAATTTCTTTCATACGACATTTTCATGATCAGTCGATCCCTTTATCTAAGGTAATTACAAATTGGCTGCTCTTTCTTTTGTTAATGTAAGTGGATTGAATCCATAGGGATCATAACATTATACGTGATGATGGGCGATTCAACGGACTCGAGATGGATGGATGGGCAATTCTTCAGCGTGCATAGTCGTCGCAAACTCCCGTCTAGAACTATGATAATGCGGTCGGCATCGTGCAAGATGTCCCCCGTCTTCGATCCGAGGGCGGGAAACCATCCACGCCGTTCGTTATGTGCTCGCGAGTTCGATCGTTGGCTCTCTCTAGCAAGAACACGATGGCTAGCACCGGTTGGAAAAGGGGCAATAGACGTCCATCACTTTGTAAGCAAAGTGATGATGGATCCTTCTTCCTAAGATGGGAGGATCCTCGTGGGCCTTTCGGACTAGGCA